GGAAATGAAAAATCAGTGGTGGCAAGAGAAACCCAAGGAGATCCAGCTCTGTGCTGACAAACATGACATGTATTGCTTTTTCCAGGTAATAAAAGCCATCTACAGACCAAGTCCCCACACTCCTACTTTCCTTCAATCGCAGGATGGATTGATGCTCTTCAAAGACAGTGAATGTATCCAAGCTAGATGGAAAGAGCATTTTGAGGCACTCCTATGAACCATGAGTCAACTGTGGCAGATGCCATCATCAAGTGCATTTACCAACACCCTGAAGGGGATCCCTCACCAACCCTTGCCAATCCTCTTATCCTAGAAGTCTGGCATGCCCTCAAGGAAACCAAGAAAAACAAGACTACTGGACTGGATAGCATACCTACTGAAATCTACATGGCTGGTGGCAAGAAATTGGGACTCCATGAATTTATTCTTTGAATCCGGAACAATGAAGAGATCTCTGGGGACCTGAGGAATGCCAACATCATGACTATCTTCAAGAAAGGAGATAAGTCTGTGTATGGGAATGATCAAGTTATCACCCTCCTTTCCACAGCAGAGAGAATCCTCACCTTCATCCTCCTAAATCATCTTCTACCTCTTGCTGAGGAAGCCCTGCTGGAAACTCAGTGTGGTTTCAGACTGTTCTGTGGGGCAACTGACATGATCTTTGTAGCCTGCTGTATCCAAGAAAAGTGTCAGGAACAACACCCAGACCCAAGTATGGCCTTCACCAACCTTACTAAAGCCTTTGATTCCATCAATCACAAAGCCTTGTGGGAAGTACTGGCCAGATTTGGATGTCCTAAAAAAGTACATCAAGGTCCTGAGGCTTCTTCACAACTACATGACTATGACCACTCTTTGTAGTAATCAGAGACCAATCTATTTGTCAACCAAACTGGGGTCAAGCAAAGATGCATCATCACCCCAACTCTGTTCTCCATTTTTTGAAAGTCGTCCTGGTTCTCATTCCCGCCTTCCTTCCAGAATTGACTTAGAATGCAAAATGAATGGAGGATTCTTCAATCTGGGTAGTTTTTTCTTGAAGACCAAAGTACTTGAAACAATCTTCCTTGACCTCCAATGTGCTGATGACTGCACCATCCTTGTACACTCCACACCATGTTGAATCTTTTTGAAGAAACCTGAACTTTGGGCCTCTCTCTCAATATTGAGAAGACTAAAGTGCTCTATCAGCCTGCTCCAGGCCATGAATATGACCCTCCTCTCCAACTTACCATCGAGGGAAAGACCCTGGAGGTAGTTGAGAACTTACACTAATTCAGTAGTATCCTCAGAGAGTGAATATTGATGAAGAGAACCAACATAGGATGTAGTATGCAAGTGCCTCATTTGGGGAATTGCTTCAGCATGTTTTAATTCATTGCAATCTCTGGAAAGACACAAGAGTCAAGTCTACAATGCAGTCATCACCCTCCCCCAAGAGATGTGAAATGTGGGTGACCTGTCATCATCTTAAGTGCCTGAACAGGCATCACCAACAGTGCCTCCAGAAAATCCTCCATATGAAATAGGAAAATTGCCACACAAATACCAGCATCCTTGCTGATACCAAAGTTACCAGCACTGATTCGATGATCCTCACGAACCAACTTTACTGGACAGAATATTGCATGTGGATGTCTAATTCTCAACTCCCTAAATGAGTGCTCTACTGCCAGTAACAGCCTGGGTTCTCACAATGGCCAGAAGTAACACTACAAGGACACATTGAAGGCATACCCCAAGAAAACGGATGCTGACATCACAAAGGAGCTGACTGCCAACCGACTCCAATGGCACCGCATCCTGAACATTGAGAGGTAAAGCCTCTTGCCCTTGAAGCAGAGAGCAGAGAGTGGAGGAAGTAAAAGGAGAGGAATCCCAGCCTGCAGCCAATTTTCCTCTGTGGAAAGACCTGCAACTTCTGTGGATGGATCTGTGGCTCAAGGATTGGATTCTTAAGTTATCTCAAGACCCATCAGTAAGCTGTGGTAGAGATCATCCTCAAATTGAAGGATCATCACCACAGATGGCACCCTGCACCCATCATGCCTGTGGCTGCTCTTCTGGGGACTGCCACCACTGCTGCTCGAGCAGCTGGTAAGAGCGGTGCCTTGAGGCTAAAAGGTTGAGAATTACCACATTTAAAGAAATACTATGGGTTTTTTCCTTAGGAGAAGGAGCTGTATCTTGGGAACCAATACCTCAAATAACTCCAAATTTGGACCATTAAACCTACCCCAATCCACTTCTATGGCTTTGTGTTCAAAGTAAATGGGGGTGAGGGGGAAAGGACTGACTCAGTAAGTTGTAAATCACACCTCTAATCATTTTGGTTCAAGTCTGTGAGGCTGTCTTGCTTCAGAACTGCAATGCTCTATTTCAAAAGAACTTCATGCAATAAAAATAATCAGGCCAAGTTAAATAAGTTACTTAGTAATATAAAAAGAAAGTAAATGCAGAGTTATTTACCATAAGGAATAAAACTGTTATTCCAGAATAATACAGTGTCCACATAAGGATTCATACTAAAATAACTAAACAAAAATATTTATTTCAGAATAGCTATTTTGGTCATTTCCAAGTGTAGACAAAGCCTAATATATGCTCTTGTGTAATGCTTATAAATTCTCTGGAGCACTGTCTATGGCAAGCCTGCGTCTGTCAGTTGATCAGAAGTAAGTTTTGTATGTTAGCTGTGTTGTTTTTGACTTGCTGAAGCTGTATTTCTCACAGTACTCATTTATATTCACCCTTTTCTTCAAGAACGTTTCTAGATATAGACAGAACATCAAGAAACATGCTCGCATACAAATCCTGATTGCACAGAATTGTTCAAATCAAACACAAGGTGTTAGAAACCTAAGGCAGTAGCTGGTGTTACTTAAGTACACAATAGGAAGTTTCTGCAGGAAACTTCAGTTAGTAACACTAATGCAAATGCTTTAAAAATCTAACATAGTTTTATAAATAAAATAGAAACAGGTCTGACCTGCCAGGTCAACTGAGGAACTCCTGTAACCCAAAGCACAAGTTCTAAATAACTTCACTTAAAAGGAAACATTGACAGGTGACAGACACAGGTAAAGATACAAATCAGGGAAGTAGATAAATATATTTTTTTAATTAGCTGAGCCAAATTGATATACAACTTACAGAAATATTCAGTATAAGTATGTACTTATTAAATCTAGAAGCAACCTAAGAGCCCTGTGGCTAACTGAAATAGCCATCAAAACTTACTTAAAATACTTAAAAAAATTAACACTACTATTGTAATTTCTTCTTGTTACTTTTATAAGAGAACAGCAGGGAAAAAGTGTGCTGAAGAAAAATGAGTTTATGTTAGTCTATTTGAAGTAAACAGTGTGACAGCTTTAAAATATACCATTTACAACAGGGGTTGGCTATATTTTGCAGCAGGAAATTGCTTTAATATGGGTTGCTTCCAACGCAATCTATACCACCAGAGCCAGAGCTAGAGTCACCACCCCCTAACTCCCTACAGTGACACCACCACTCCTCCTCCCTACTGACCAGCTACTGCATGGGTGAAGCCCCATCACCAAAACACCACACATGCCTCCCCAGTTCCATGGCCTATGGGCTGTAGGTTGCTGGTCCCTGATCTATACCAAAGCAGCAGTCTTGACTGGGTTGAAACTTAAGGGTCCCAGTGGAAACAGAGATTTAAAAAACAGCCTCAGACAGACATCCTAGACAGTGTAGTCCTCAGCCTTTTTCCAGGTGTGAAGCATGTGTTCAGGAGCAGGTGAGTGGAGCATGTTCAGGCCCACCCCAGAACACATTAATGCCACTACCATGTGCCTTAACATATTACCTTTTTGTATATCAACATATTTACCAGAGGTCAGAAAAAAAATTAGAGCAACTGCTCCATTAATTACTCGACATCAATGGCAATTTTTAGAGTAATTGTATATTTCTGGAAACATTACTTAAGGTTCAAAATTCCAGTTTCTCTTTTCACTATCAAATTCCTAACATTCATTCTTTTACTGTTGATAACACTTTCTGTAGAAGCATATCAGATAGGAAAACCCACTTCAACTCATTAGAAGCCTTCTTATAGGCTTCCATGAGGTACTGTGCAACATTTCAGATGCCACATCTTCAACTCCCATGGGCTTCAATAGAATTTGAGGGAACACAATACATTGCTAGATCAAGGAACCAGGATTTAAAATCTTTTGGTAGGGGATAGGGAGGGAGGACCCGTGCAGGCTGCTTTGCCCCAAGCCATGGTAGAAAAAGTGGGACTCGGCTCACAGCAGCGAAACCAAAGTGCCACAGTGGGTCTTCTGGTTTTGCTTTTACCACGTTGATTGGCAGGGGGGTTCATAAGGTATCAAAGGTTGAGGACCACTGTCTTAAAGGATTATCTGACCTATAACTAAAAAAAAAAAATCATAAAGACAAACTGTAATCATTCATATGCAGCATGGATCAGAGATGGGGAATATATTTTCCAATATTAACAATACCTCTATCAATTTTTAATACATTTGCTTTTTTCCCCCAAATACCGATTTGTTCAACTTTTATATCTTTCTGACTGCAGCTGCAGAAAAAACGCATTTTATATTAGTGGTATGTTAAGACTGCTGTTTGTATACCTGTAATCATCATCACCATTTAGGCTGAACATAAGCAAGAACTTCTCCCTAAGGATAACTAGAACCTGGAACACACTCCTGGCAGAGGTGGTGCGGTTGCCAACCTTGGAGGTGTTCAAGAGGAGGCTGGATAAGCGGGTTTTTAAGCTAGTTTAAGCTCATTAACCTCCTGCCTATGGCAGGGGACTGGACCTGAAGATCTTACAGGTCCCTTCCGGTCTACTGATTCTATGATTCTAACCATTTCATAGTATATTATTAAACTCTTCTAGCATTTTTACTGTTACTTTCTAAAAGATTTTTCTATAGCTACAAAAAATTAAAATGACTTTACATTTTTGAAAAAGGCAAGCAAAAATGTACCTGCAATTGGAATATTCTGTGAGACTGATAACTGTACATCTCCTGTTCCAGGTGGCATGTCAATTACTAGATAATCCAGTTGACCCCACTCTACCTAAAAAAGATTGGAAATACATTTAAAAAAAAAAGATATGTACCTCCTTGGAAACATAGCTTAAAATTAGCATGGTATACTATACAACAGAGAAACCAGTGGCACATCTCAGGAGACTGATACGGTGACTCCTTTTTAGTCTTGACTTCATCAAGTAACAAAGATAGGGTTTTTTCTAAACAATTTGCAAATTTGTAGACTACTCAAAAGTTATGAGCATAACTTAGCTATGAAGAATAATCCTCTCTGACCTCTTTCCCACAAAATGTAGCAAAAGTCTCATTAATGTACAACTTTTACATCAGAAATACTGATGTAATACTTTATTCTAACCTGTGTTTATGTAAACCTTAATCTAGTCCTTCTTATATAATCAATATTATTTAGGAATAGTTTCCATTAACTTGTAAAGCATTTTTTCTCACTGTTTGCACTTTGATACTTGAAACTATATGTAAATCTCCTTTTTCTGGTTTGCTATTGCAGTTACTCATGTATAAATAGCTATCAGTACTGAATTTTTATTCAAGGAAAAAGAAAACAGTAAAAAAATCAAGAGCTCATTATATACAACCACTATGTATATAAGGCATAAAGTAGTAAGTTTAGACTTGGTGCCTTCCACCCACAAAGTGTCCCATTAATATACTGGGTTCAAACCAGAATGTGCTGTTATTATTTGGTGTTATCTGTACAATGTAAAGTAAAAGTATCATTTACCTAAAAGCTTCCTAAGGATGTAGCTATACCTAAAGAAGCTCAACACTGGGATGGCACAGAATTGCACCAGTGCAGAGTTAAGGTTGTTCAGTGGTGCCTAGTGTTCTTACAGAATATGAAGAATAGCTAAATTTAACCTGAAAACCAAGATGAAAGCCAGTAAATAAAAATTTTAATAATATGCTACTCCCATGTGACAACCTTAACTTGTCCCCCTGGAGCTGGCAACAGATAATAGGACTGCTTTTATAAGAGAACCTAATAGGTGGGCCACAATAACTAGGGGTCTACCAAACTCAAGAAGACGGCTGCCCAATTTTGCGTGCAGATACTGGGGGCCAGTCGCCATTTTCATGGGCTGATTGCAGTGGGGCCCCTCACCTCTGATTGGTCAAGGGACCCCAGCAGTCCTGCCCCTCCCCACAGATTGCCAAATGGCCCAAAACCGTGGCTTAATGACTTAATAATGTTTCCCTTAATGGCTTCTTTGGGCTTAATCAGGGGATTAAGCCCATGAAAGCCATTAACTGATGCATTATTAAACAATCTAAGCATTTAATTCAACTCTAAATTGAATTGTGCAATGAAATTAAAGCTATACACAACATGAATTGTAACTAATACCTTCTCTATACACTTTATTAAAGGGCACTGTAAAAAGGAGTTTACTCAATGCTAACCTTGAGACAGGCAATTCATGCTATTAAACGCCAGCATGCTGCATTCAGTGACAGTAGCTGCAGATATTCTGTCTCTGTGGGGTGAACACATGTCCATACACTGAGATGGCATGTTCGGAGTCCAATGAGTTCATTGGAATGATGAGGCAGCATCTTGCCAGGGCATAGAGATGTGGAAACCAGTCACAGACAGAATCCCAAAATACAGCCACAGACCCAGGCATGGGCATCTGGCACTCTTTGACAAAGTTAATGTAAGCAGCACATTCATTATCATGCTCTTTTTGCCATGCAGGAACTGATTTCAGTAGCTGAGAGTCACAAGTCAAAACAGGCACCTGGTTGGAATCCAAAATGCGAACAGCATTAAGGAAGGAGGAAGATGGTTGTCTGAATTGTGGTGGCAGTGACAAGCCATACCTGTAGTACTGGTTCAGCTTCACAGCTATTACCTGAAAGAGTTCTCATTTACACTGGTTTTCACAAGGACAGCTTGAAGTTCCTGTGATGCCCTGTTTCTGACCCAATTTATCAAATTCATCAGCTTGTGTGCATGAACTGGGTAGCATTTTCAGTCACAAACTTTATTTGAAATTGAATGTCACCTTGCCCTAAATGATTGAAGCTTAAGCAAGCACTGTGTGCTGGGTGTGATTTCCACATTCTTGTTCATAAACTGCTTGGTATGGTAACAAACCATGCTGAATCATGCTTCCTGAGCACAGGTTCTGGCGACAACGGCACGGTACCATACAAGTCCCCACTTCAATGGGTGATAGATTCCCTATACTGGACTTTATGGCCCGGACAGCACTTGAAGGCTTCCTTGAATGAGGATACCAGGCTATTCACATCAGGGAACTGCATATGCCAGGTGTCACTTGCTAAAAACAGAAGGTGTGCATCGCAGGTGACATGACCTGCACTGGTCAGCATTCCTTGGAGAACATCAGAAAAACCTTTGTAACAGGTTAGGTGCCTGAGGGCCATTGTGATGCCCCCTGCAGGTACCCCTCATCCCTGCTAAGCTTTCTCTCTACCCTGGCTTTCAAGGTCTCCCCTTGCCTTCTCATATGCCATGTCTTGATAAAAATTTCATTAAAAAGAGGCTGCCCTCAGAGACTGGCAAGCCTAAGAAGCTCTCTCCTCTCCAGTAATCAACTCTCTTGACTTTATTTGCCTTAAGGGCTTATTGTGTGCCTTCATTCATCCACATACCTCATGCCTTGAAGGTGTTTTGGGTGACCAATCAGGTGGGACACTTGTCCTCAAGTCACAAGGCCACCTCAAGCCTTTATTCCCTTGTTGGGGCTCCAGCCTTACCAGCTTCCAGTCCTCTACTCTGGCTGGTTCCTTATTCAAGGCCACTGTTCTAGACCCGGCTTCTGTGCCCCAGCCCCAAGCTCTGCCCTTATCTGGGCTCCAGGCCCTTTGACTCTGAGATCTGTTCCTATCTGGGCTCCAGACCCTGCAGTCGCCAAGCTCTGCCCTTGTCTGGGTTTTGGACACTGTGGCCCCCAAACTCTGCCCTTATCTGGGCCCTCTGACTATGCCTTGAGCCTGCACTTAGCAGGGATCAAGGCAATCACATGCCACTAGGGCACTAATGGGATCTCCAAGTTTCCCTTTACAGTCGCACCCAAATCACCGGTTAAAACACGAACATAAATTTACACCCTCTAGCAGCAACACAAACACCCAGCCCACTAGCTGCCTACCATCCTTCTTCCAGGATGTGAATCACGGCCCTTGGGTTCATAGATTCATAGATGCTAGGGTCGGAAGGGACCTCAATAGATCATCGAGTCCGACCCCCTGCATAGGCAGGAAAGAG